TTGATATTGGGTATATAAAATTACTAAGCATTAACTAAAATTATATTTTTTTGTCAAAAAAGTAAAAAAAAAATTTTTTTTTTTTTTGAGTAATTGATTTGACTGCATGGAAGGAAAAAAATCGACGTGTAGGAAAAACATACGTGGAATACAAGTAGAAGGAGGAGAAGGGGGGAGAGAGAGGAGAGAAAGAAAAGGACACACGAACCGGCGGACATTTATCGAATTTTTATAAAAAGGTTCAAAGGTTATACCAATAAAAACAAAAACCCTCTTAAAATTTTATTTTTTCTAGAAAAATCTAAAAAAAAAAAAAAAAAAAAATTCAACAACGTACGTATTTTATAATATGATAATAATAATAACGATCGACAATTAACCGACGTATAGAAAAAAAAAAATTTTTTTTTTTTTTTTGGGTTAAAAATCAATAAGTTATACGTCATCAATTTAATGCCACGACAAAATTTTTTAAAAATAAATTTTGATTTTTTTTTTTTCGTTACGTAATAAAAACAAGAGAAACAAATTTGCAAAAATTTTTTTTTTATGTTAACTCATTACTACGAACTTTTTGTTCAGAACGTTCAGATCATTCTTTATTTATTTTTTACCTTTTCCTACGTGGTTATTAATTTCCCTACCCCTCCCCCCCGGTTTCCCCCTGTTCCTTTTTTTTTTGATTAGGTTGTACTATACGAGGTGATGAGTGATGTAAACATGACGTCATATTTGTTTAAAAAATTTTTTTTTACGCATACGCAAAAGATGATGATGAAAAATTCATATGCTTAAAGTATTAATAATAATAATGATAATAATAATAATAATAATAATTTGTAAATCTCAGGTGAAAATGTAGAAAAATTTGTTTTTTTTTTTTTTTTTTTTTTTTTTTACTTTTCCAAACGAAATTTATTTTTAACCCAACACCTGGAATTTTAAATTACTCATTCAGAGAGAGAGGGGAGGGGGAGGGGGAGAAAGAGGTACATGCGTAAAATTTTAATGAGAATAAAAAAAAATATTAGTATTATTATTATTAGCATTACGTAGAAAATTGTGGCCGGATATACTTGCATCGTTTTTTTTTTTTACTTTTGACATTTTCCTTCAACGGAAACGTTATATTTTTGTTTATATTTTTTTTGTAACCGATTCACTAACTTCGAAAGCTACAAATATATTTTTAAGGTTATTTATATAAAAAAAAGAAAAAAACAAACACAATTTTTCCAAAAAGGAAAATGTAACAAACACGATTCATCATCGTGAAATAGCGGAAAGATTTTCTTCTTATCCAGTGAAACGGAGCAAAATTTTCCAAATGTTCGGCCATTTTTTTGACGTAGAATCAGTTCGATAATGCCGCATAAAACGTCGTTCTATATATTATTTCTTTCTTTCTTTCTTTTTACCCCCCCCCCCCAAAAAAAAAAAACCCATCGAAAAGGTTATTTTTTTTTATTATATTTTTTGATTTTTCCAGAAAACTTATTTTTTTTTTAATTGCATTCTAACATGATTATTATTATTATTACTTAACGTTCACTACGGTATTAATTACTTAAAACTTTTTTAAAAGTTTTTTTTTTCTTTTTTTTTTTAAATAATAAAAAAATCCAAAAAGAAGTTGGGGGAGAGGAAGGTAAGGAGGGAAGGAGGGGATTTTTTTTTTTATTAAATTAAATTAAAAAATGCATTTTTGATTATATTTTTTATTACGAGATGTTTTTTTTTTCTAGAATTTTCTCCGTGTTTATATACCCTAATGTATCATTTGGAAAAAAATTAAAAAGGATTTGTCGAAAAAAGGGAAAAGAAAATTTTAAAAGGAAAATTTTTTTTTTGGAAAATGCGTAATAAAAGAGAGAAAGAAAGAGAGAGAGAAAAAAATAATATTTACATAACCTTTTTTTGTGCTTGTCGAAAAAGCTTAGAATTTTTTTTTTCCTTTTTTTTCCAACAATCAATTTCGAACTGGAAAATTCTGGAGGAAAAGAAAAATAATAAAAAAAAAAATTTCATTTATTTATATAAAAACATCAAGAGAGTCGTTTAAGACTCCGGGAAAAAGAAAAAAAAATTTTCCAACCGTGTAAAAAATTAAAAATCAATTTAAAAAATTTTTTTTTTAATTTAATTTTTTTTCTCTCTCTCTCTCTCTTTTCTGTTTCTTTGTTGTTGTTGTTTAATCTAAATTGTTTTTTCTTATGATAAATTATTTCATCCGGTTTTAAAATAATGATTTAAACATGATTTCATATAATTTTTTTTTTTTCAAGGATTTTTTTTTTATTTGTGTTTGTTCAATTGATAATAATAACTAATTTTTTTTGTTTGTTTCAACAAAAACCAAATTTAACCTTTTTAATTAATTATTTAAAGTACCAAACACGATTTTTTTTGTTTAAAAAAATATTTACTAAAAATAAGCACCCAATAACTAATTCCACGTCTTTTATTTATAATAATAATTTATTTTTCCCAAATGTGACACATTTTTTCTAATAATTTCATTCATAATTCATACAAACCATCATCATCATCATCATTAATATATGTTCGGCTCGGAGCTTTTAAAACTTATTATTATTATTATTATTATTATTATTATGACGTTTCATTGTGAAAACTCGTAACGTTCATAAATTTAAATGCCCAAGCAGTAAATAAACATGTCGGCGGTTGTTATTTTTTTTTCTTTTTCATTAAGTTAAATTGCTAAATGCATTTTAACATAAAAATTATTAAATATATATATATGTGTGTGTAATATTTTAACATGAGTTTATTTTCAAAATGGCGGAAATGGTTTCCCCCCCCCTCATCCACACACACAATCAGTGTATTTAATTAAGTTAACAGGGGCGAAATATTTTATGAAAGACTTGATATAAGGTTCCGTTTAAAAACCTATTTATTTATTTATTTATGTACAAATAAATTCCGAATTCTAATAAATATAATATATATTATATATTATTGTCGGATGATGTAGTAAAATGTTAAAAATTATTACTCGATAATAATGATGATGAGAATGAAAGTGATGAGAAAAAAAAAAAGATTTTTATTGTAATTTGAAAAAATGGGGGGTTTTATTGATAAATTATTTACTTATTATTATTATTATTATTATTATTATTATTATTATTATTATTATTATTATTATCGTAAGTTGTTGTTCAATAAGTTAAAAAAAAACCTTTTTTTTTATATTAATTAATTTCCCGGTGATTAATTTACGATGACGTCATTTATTAAAATGGGGGGAAATAGAGAAAAAAATTATAATTACTTTAATAATTTATGTTTTGAAACATTTAAATTCAAACTGGAAAAATTTAGGTTTTTTTTTTTTTTTTTAAATATTTAAACAATAAGACAAACAAACAAACAGAGAGACAAACAACAATGATAAGACAACAACCCGCAGGAAAAGCTTAAAAAAAAAATTTTCCACAACGGTAAAAAAAAAAAATTTTATTAAGGTTTATCATTAATTATAACGATAATTAGTATTATATATATTTACATAATATTTTTCCAACGAGTTGAGCTTTTCCAACCTCGAAAATATAACGATAATAATAATAATAATAATGATAATTAAGATATTCAACACACACACGCTCAGTGTGGGAAAAAGGTTTCCTTTTACATCTTTGATAAATTTAAAAAATAATATATTGATAAGAGGGGGGGGGAAAGAAAGTTTTCCCAACTATTACAACGTATTAGTTAAGAATTTAAAAGAGGAAAAAGTATTTCAATATCGTGAATTGAATTTTAACGAGTTTTTTTTTTTTTTTTTTTTTTCAAAGGAATCAAAATTGATTAATACTTTTTATATATGTAAACGTCATAAAATGGCGCTTAAAAATTTTCAATAAATTTTTTTATTATTATTAATAATCTAACCGGCCGGAAAATATTATATTAAAAACATAAAAAAATAGAAAGAAAAGAAAAGAAAAATAATTTTTTTTTTTTTTAAATTATCCCCAAATTGACCATTTATTAAAAAAAAAAAAAGGAAAAAAAAAAGGAAATTTTTTTTTTAATCAAAAAAATGTTTTAACCGTGAATGTTAAAACCCGCCGTTAAAGAAAAAGAATTTTTATTAATAAACCTTTTTTTCCTTCCTTTTCCTTCCTTTTTTCCTTTTTGAATAAAACCTTTTTTTTAAACGAACTTATCGGAACGGTTCACACGACTTTCACATCATATAAATCGTCCTCCCCCTCCTCCTTTTTTTATTTATTAATCTTATTTATTTATTAATAAATTTTCCATTATTTTCGTTTAATAATTTATGTTTAATAACACAATTTTCCACGTGATTAATAATAATAATAATTAAAAAACATTATCGTAAGTTGTCGTCGTTGTCACCTTAACTCTTATAAAAATCGTCACCCCGTAATTTTTTTATAATAATAATCATCATCATCATCGTTGAAAATCTCTAGGTATCAGTCATTTAATTATTTAAATAATTTATTAATTAATAACAATTTAATTAAATTTAATAATCAAAACGTCACATTAATTAATTACACATTCGTTACAAAAAAAAAAAATGTTACGGATAATAAATTAACTAAAACCATCTATTACGCTTAAATTAAGGATTAAACTATGTTATTGTTTTAATTATTATTATCATCATCATCATCATTATTTTAATCTCCTGACATTTTAATACCATTTCATGACTAATCCCTGACAAATTTTTTCTTTTTTTTTTCTCTTTAATAGATTAAATAAAAGAAAAGTAAGAAATGATTATTAAGAAATGATGAAAATATCAGAAGAAGATTTTGGATGAAAATTAATTCAGAAGCAAATAGATTACCAATAATAATAATAATAATGTTGAAGGATTTAAGAAAGGTATAAAAAGGATTCTGAATCAAGGAAAAAAAAGAGAGGGAGAGATTTAAAAAAAAGGAAGAGGAGAAAAGAAAAAAAAAAATTTATTTATATATGAGTAAATGAAGGGGTTTTTGGAAATATCGATGGCGATCGTTATCATGCATATATTATCACTGATAAATCCTTTTAAAGTGGGTTTATATTATCCAGTATTGGTGACTGCCATTAGTGTCAAAGGACTAAGTAAGTAATTTAATATTATAATAATAATAATAATGATAATAATTTTTGTTTGCTTTCTACCGTGTAATCCATTAAAAAAAATTTTATTTATTTTTTTCGTTGATTTTTATTTATTAAGAAAAGGTTTAAACCTTAATTAAAAAAAAAAAAAAAGGAATAACATTTTTTTTTAAAAGTAAATTATTTAATAATTAAAAACTTGTATAATAATAATAATAAGATAGAAATTATTTTTACGTTTTGTTTAATTTTAATTTTTTTTAATTTACAAAAAAAAAATTTTTTTTTTGCCTTAAATTTCCACAAGGTTAATGACTTTTTTTTTTTTTAATCAAGGTTAAACAAATTAATATTTCGTTTGTTTCCAACTTCTAAAGCTCGTTAATTCAAAAAAAAAGAAAACGTTAATTTTCCCTCCCTTCCCTCCCCCCTCTCATTAAATTTTCATTTAATTTTGAAAAAATAAATAATTAAAAAATTTGTTTGTTTGGTTAAGAAGGAGGTGGTAGCGGTTTAAAATTTGGTGATAAATGCGATGAAACTTCCGAATGTGATTTTGAAGGCTCAATATGTGATGCAATACTCAAATTATGTCAGTGTGTTCCAGAACTTCCAGTAACCAATCATTTAGATAAATGTGGAAAAGGTATTTTAACGACTCCAAACTGTTTTTTTTTTTTTTTTAAATCCATTATCATTATCATTAATTTTTTTTTTTTTTTTGGTTCCAGCGGCTTCCGTTAACGATACCTGCACTTTTAATGAACAATGCGAACAAACAGTTTTCCAAACGGAATGTAGAGATGGTCGATGTTTATGTCGTTTTGATAAAATACCCGTGGCTAATAGCGAGGGTATAGTCGAATGTCAAAGTAAGTCATCAAATATTCATCATGTCTAATCGATAATCCTCAATTTTTTTTATCCGTGATATAATCCGTGAAATCATCAATTATTATTATTATTATTATTTAAAAATCGAAAGTTGTGAAAGTTTTTGGTCACGTGTGGTTGACTGTGTTGTAATGTAAACAATTGGAAAAAAAACGACCAACAAACAAACAAACAAGGTTAAATATTTGTGTAAAATGTAAAAATATGGACAATTGATAAGGGTCAACAAAGACATGAAAGTATTTTTCCAAAAAGAAAAAATTTCCAGTTTGTTGAGGACAAAATGAAATTTTTTTTTTTTTTTAGGTTTACCAAAAGAACCAAAAGAAAATCCTCATCGTGTTGATCCGGCCATGATTGGAATATTAGCAGGAATGGCATTAATGTTTATTATTATATGTGTCGTACTAAGATTATTTAGCAAGTGAGTGAAAGTAAAAAAAAAAAAAAATTTTCCCTTAAAAACACGGAAAACGATAATTTTTTTTTTTTTTTTTTGGGGGGGGGGTTTCGTGTGTAAATCTCTGCAAAATATCGCAACTGGCAGTTGTACACACGGTTCTTGCCTGATTTATCGATCCTTTTTTTTTTTTAACACAAATTTTACGTCGTGAGGTGGTGGAAAAGTTTTTTTTTCCTTTTCTACACATTTTCTTTTCTTTCACTTTAATTATTATTATTATTATTATTTTAAGGGCAAGATGGAGAGAAAATCGTACAATATTCAACACACCAAATCCTCGATTAATGAATGCATCACTTTTACAACACAATAAAAGTTTACACGATGGTAGAAGAGGTAGTAGAGCAAGTGCAAGGGGTCCAAGTAGAGCCGGAAGTATGAATTCACTTCGTCCTCATTCACCAACAGCAAGCTAGGTAGTGGTACATTTTTTCCATTTCTTTTGGTTACGTACATCAGGAACGTATCCATATCCTTCTCTTTTATTTAAGATTCGAAAAACGGTGGTACGACAAGATCGAGATGTAATAGCCGAGATGAATCTTATGTTGATTCAATAAAATCACCACACAGAAGAGATAAAAATCAATTTTCTGAACTTGAAACGATTAAAGGAGAAGTTTTATCATCTGAAGAAAATGCGTGAGATATTGCCAAGTGTGAGAAATAAGCCCAATCGATTGAATCCTCCTCATTTGACAGGTAACAGTTTTTTCTTTTTATTACCTAATATAAATAAATTATTAATAATAATAATATTTTTTGTATAATGAATCAGGGATTCAAGCGGAAGAACGTGCGCAAACTCTCGTACAAATAATAATGCTCTCTTAATTAAAAAAAAAAATTTTCGAGCGCCTTTACTATAAAATTATTTTAAAAAGAAATAATGCTCAATTTCAATCGTTTGACACACGTTTTTGGGCTTTATTTTAATATATATTATACAGCGAATATATTTAACAAAACTATAATTTTTTTATTATTGTAATTTTAGTATTACTACTATTACTACTACTACTAATACTAATACTACTATTGAATCGCCTTACTTACTATTAAAAAAAAAAAAATATTTTTAAAATATTTCGCTTGACATTACTAATATTATTAATTTTTTTTCTTTCTCTTAATACTTTTCAAAAAAAAAAAAACATTTTTTATACTAAATACTATTACTAAAACCATTACTATTATTATTATTATTAATTTTTCACTACGTAATGATGATATTTTATTAGTACTTTTGTCAAAAATGCTGAGAAAAAAAAATTTAAATTTTTATTTAATTAATTATTTTACAAACGTTAATTACTCAGATTTTTGTTTATTTATCGTTTTAATAAATAAATAAATAAATTTTGCTTTTATTTATTTATTTATTTATGTTAAATTTCTTTCTATTTTTTTTTTTCTTTTGTTTCATACTGTTTGTGCCAAGTTAGCATATTTTTTTTTTTCTTTAGCTTTTATACGTAATCAAAATTATTTGCTTTATTTATTTATTTATTAATGATATGAAAATATATATTATTGGCACCTTTTAAAACACAACGGCGGAATATGATAAATATACGTACGTAATTAATAATAATAATAATAATAATAAATTTTACATTGAAAAAAAAAAAAAGAAATTATTATTATTTAAAAATGAAAAGGAACTATTTTAGGGAACATAACGTGCGAAATATACATTTTTTTGTTTTTAAACACACTTATTATCATTATCATTATTATTATTATTAAAATTATTATTAATTTTCACGGTTTGTTTTTTAATTCGAATCACAGAGAAAAAAAAAAATTTTAATTGATTTTTAATTTTGATGTTGTGCTTTTCACAAGATTCGATTGGAAAAAAATAAAAAAAAAAGTAAAATTATTAATAATATTATTAATTAATTAATTAATTAAATTTTTTCATTTTAATTATAATTTGTTACGTAATCAAAAAAAAAAAAAAAATAACAAACCTTTTTTATAAATATATATATATATATATATATATATATATATTTTATTTATAATTAAAATACTTAAGAAAGTTTTTAAAAAAACTGACTTGATTATACCGACCAAAAAAAAAATAAAAGTAAATTTTGCCTTAGGATTTTTATTATTATTATCATTATTATTACAACTACTGTTATTTAACGTAATAATAATAATAATAATATTTTATAATTTTTTCATTTAGAATCTTTTGCTTGTGCAACTTCTCGCTATATATATATAGGTATTAAAGTATAAATATTATTCTAAAAAAAAAAAAAAAAAAAAAAAAATTCAATTAATGATTGTAATTGAAGGGAACATTTTTTTTTTTTTAAGGTTTTGCATAACACAGGGAAAAATTTGTATGAAAATTTAATAAATAAAAAAAAAACTTTAAATTAAATATATATATTAATTATGTAACAACTCTAATTATTTTTAAATAAGGAAATATTTAGTTATTATTGTCGTAACGCGAGTTTGTTTGTACAACAACGTTCGGCTCAATAAATATTATTATTATTAATTAAATAAAAAAAAAAAGTCTACCGGAGGCAATGTAATTTAAAAAGAGAAATAAATAAATATGGCGGCCTCTTTAAAAAACCGTTAATTTTATTATATATACCACCGGTAAACGGTTTATTATTATTATCGATAGATTTATTTATTAGTAATAATTAGGTTTGTAAGTTGTTTATTTATTAACTAAAAAAAATTTCTTTTTCTTTTTCTAGTCGATTGATTTACTTTTAATTACGTAGAAATTATTTATTTTATTTATTATTATTAAAAAAAAAAAAATGGACGAGAGTATTTTTACTTATTATCGAACCGAACAACTTTTTTTCCGTTTTTTTTTTTTTAGCACTTGTAATAATATTTTGCCTTACAGTCGAATTTACAAAAAAAAAAAATATTTAATTTAAAAATAAATTTATTTTTAATTTAAATTGACATTTAAAAAAAAAAAATTTCTTTTCTAATTATATAATTTATCCCCCCACAAAAAAATATTAAAAAAATACAAAAAAAAAACGGAAAAATTAAGAGAAAAGAGAGAAAAAAAAGCTTTCTTTTCATTTTTCATATTATTATTATTATTATATTTATAATTAATTAATTAATTAATTAATATTTGCTTTTTAAAACGACCAGTACGTAATAAATATATACTTCGACTGTGATGGTTAATTAATAATTTTTTTTCTCTCTCTCTTAATAATATTTATTATCTCATTAGAGTGCAAAAAATAATAATAATAATATTTATTATATATATATATTAATAGTATTTTACATTTGAATTAGGAATGAATGAGATTAATATTATTAATAATAATAAATTATTTTTATGTATTTTATTAAGCTTGCTTATAAATAACAAAAACTAAATAGCAAATTTAATTTTTTTAATTTTTTTTTTTAACTTTAATCATTTTATTTTTATTTTTTATTAAATTTATTTAAAATTTAAAATGGAAAAAAAAAAAAAATTACAGTGTAATTGTAATGAAAATAAAATCTTTATACTTAACAAACAAAATTAATAAGTTTATTTTTTCTTATGTATACATAATTTAAATTCCTTTTTTAATTGTTATAAAATAATAACTTATCTTTTCAGATATAAAATGTGTAAGAAATACTACTGAATTAATAATTAACATCATTACATAATTATATATATAATTTAAAATAAATAATTAGAATTAATAACTTAAAACATAAAAAACAATTTAAAATAATCAAGAACAATTGTTTTAACATAAATAATAAAAAGAAAAAATCTCTTAAATAATTAAAAGGAAATTTTTTTTTTAACATACAAATAAAAAAACAAAAATAATGTTTATTATTATTATTATTATTATTTATTGAAATCCAGAATGTATGGGATAAAGTGGTGAAAATGTAGATGAGGATTCATTTTCATCATTAACATCACCATCAACATCAATTGAATGTGGACCAAAAACACATGGTTCTAAATTGGGGCCATTAAAAACTTCACTGTTGCTCAAACCTTCACCCTCTCCTCTTTTATTTGGAAGTTTGCACTGGGACAAACGAACGGTTCCAACAAATATTTTATGACTCAATTCAACTGGTTTTTTCCTCCATGATGGTTTATAATGAAACAAAAGCTTATATTTAACCGATATTATCCTTTTACGATTTTTCGTCGTCGGTGGTATTGCGGGTATGAGAACACTTTCCGACTTCCATGTTTGTGTGTCACGTGGTAATATGCAACCTCTTGTTATTTCGGCAACGTTACGTTTTTCGACCAACGATTTCGAACCGCAAAATTTAATGAATTGCACGAGGGTTGCTTTCACCCATTCGACGGGACACCTGTGCAAATTTGTTATTTCTGCATTTATAAATAAACATTCTCCCGGTACGTAACCTTGTTTTGATATGTGTAGAAACGTTCTCACTCTGTTACCCTTGCAAAAAACCGATAATATTATACACCATTCGTTTTCCGGTTCCCAAATGATTCCTGGCAAATGAGCATTTTCATTTGTGCTCACATCGGTTTTGGCTAATAGTGTAAAATGTTCGGTTTTTTTAACCGTGACACCGTCAATATCTACGCTTAAATTTACTGAATATCTGACAAATCCTTGGGTGGATTCAATTGAACTGGGAACGTTGTGTGGTAACTGATATGCAAACATAAAAACCTGAGTTCCTTTTGACCACATGGCGGATTCTTTGTTTTCGCACAAAAATATTGGTAAAACATCATCGAAATAAATTTCTGTCGTATTTTTCGGTTTGATTTTCGATTCGGCCGTCATTGTTTTATTTTCTTTGTCTTCGGCGTTACCCAAATATGTTCCAAGGCCGACAAAATTAGCAATGACATTATTTAATATTGATGATTTTTCCAAATTAACTTCTAATTTTATACGGATTATTTCACCCTCGAAATAAAATTTATTAGAATTTTCAAATATTGCGTTTAAGAGAACCATTTTAATAATTAATTAAAACTTATTTGTCACTTAATAATTAAAACTGTAAATGATGCTTAAGGGTAGAAAGCTCTTTGTTTACATAAAACCAATTCGCGGGTTTACTCAAGTATTTTTTTCCATAGAATAACGAACAGAAAAAATTTAACATTCTTTTTTTTTTTTTTTTTTTTTTTTAATTTTTAAACTTTATGACATTTTTCTTTTTTCAAACTGTACAACAATCATGTCTTTGCATAAATATTTAATTTTTAACAAATAAAAAATCATTTTTATTGGTGTAAACTTTATTATTTGTTAGAAGCTCATAAATTTTAAATATTCTTTAAAAAATACAAATCTCTGCTTTTGAAAATTTTATTATTCTTTTGAAACAAAAGGGTTTTCATATAAATCTTTTATTATAAACTTAAATCTTTTCTTGCCAATCTATAAAATAAGAAATTTTTCATTTTTGCAAAAAAAAAAAATTAAAAAAAAAGGTTTAGCTGCTCAATATTTTAAAATGTGGATTTTTTTTTTAAAAAAATGAATTTACAAATAGTTCCTTTTAATTTTTTCTAAACTACTTCTATTACAACAAATATTGAAAAAAAGTTTCACAAAAAAAAAAAAACAAATTATTTTTGAGTAAATTGTTTTATTTATTATTTTAACGAATTACTAAGTTGGTAGAACTGTATTATTTAATTTGTAATCAAATGATTTTTTAGATCTCCAGTCTAAAAATTCTTCAAACTCTTCATCTCCAGATATATCATCATCATTGTCTGCTCTCGATTCTGTAACTGACATGTTAACTTTTTCTTTTTTCTTTTCTAAATCGAGTACTCTATAATACAAGAAAATACAATATACATAAATATAAATTTTTTTTTTTTTATTTGAAAGCATTATGTAAGTGCCTTCATAATACCTAGTCCAATTTCTAATTTGTTCATCGATTTCATCAATTTGCCTTTCTGTTGTTGCTTCTTCTTGATCCTCTGCAATTATTTGCTGTGCTTTACTCGTTTCTTCTTTAATTTCTTTTTGAAAAAGCTCCCATTCTTCTTCAATTGGATCTCTATATTCTACATTTCTAACCTGAAATATTAAAAGTGATAATATTAATCAAGTTGAAATTCTTCCTTTAGGTCAACTTTAAAGTTAAATTCCTTACTTTAGCATCTAACTTTGGATCGTCAAAAAATCCTTCAGGTAAAACATCATAATTGGTGTCATCTTCTTCGAGATTTGTTTCCGGATTTATACTTTCACTACCACCCTCTGTTGTACTTTCCTCAATGACACTTGGTTCACTAACAGTTTTTGATAATTGAATTGAATTTTCATTATTTTTTATATTGAAACTAACTGGTGTGGGATTTTTTAAAATACTTTTAAGTTTTTTCGGGGGTGTTGGTGTCAAAGGAGTTGGAGGAGTTGGTCGTTTTAATGCGATTGGTTTGGGCTCCTTAAAATTGTCTTTGGGAGGTTCCTTTTTCTTAACTTTAGATAATATGTTTTGTTTATGATTTTTTGAGTTTAGGTGAACGCTCCATACATTTTCACTTCTCACAACTGTCTCACAAACTATACAATGCAACGTACCATCTTTATCATACGTATGACAAGTTAAGAAAATGTAAAGTGTTATGTAAAAAACTTATCAAGAAAGCTATTAGTAAAAATAGAAATAACTTAAGAATAAGTTATAATTTCAAAAAAAAAAAAAAAAAAAAAAACATAAAAAAATCATATGAATAAAAGGATATCTAGCCAGTGGCGATTCAATTTTTTTTACATTGTCTTGAGCTTTCTTTTTCTGTTCATTCATTAAACGTCTCAGTTCGACTTGAGTTATTTTCTTTTTTGAAGATGCCATTATTAAAATTATAAATAATAAAAAAGACGTTTTAAATATTATTTCAAAATATAATAGATTAAAGGCCCTGAAAAGACCGCCATTACAGTTACTTTCTAACAACAAACAATAGAAAAATTAAAATTCTTGTGAAATGTAATTACGTAATTTTTTATTATGGATTTTAATGGTCCGGGTGTTAGCTTATTTCAGGGAAATGAGCTAAACAATATTGAAAATTTAATTCAAAGGGAAGAAGAAGAAGAAGCTGCAGAAGAGCAAAAAAGGCGTGAATTAGAGGTAAAGGTTATGTGAATGTTTATTTTATAACTGAAAATGCTCTAATCAAATTTGTCTGATCCAGTTCAATATTATTTTTCTAGAAATAATATGTTAATTTACTTTACACTAATTTTACATTTTTATTTTCTACATTAACCTAGCTTAAAAGTATATTGGAAAACGCTTTTGATGACGTTTCTTTTGAAAACGATGATGAGTCAATTAGTAACGCAAGTCCAACCTATTTGAATCATTCTTCATTTTTTAATTCTTCAAATCGTGGAAATGAATTAAAAAATGTACAGAATGGAGTTTTGTCAGATGCAGAACAAAATGGACAAGGCAATTTTTTAGAAAATTTTAGTAATTCATCTAAAAGATCTAAAAATAGCTCTATCAAAAGAATGAACTTCAGTAGTGAAAGTGAAAATTATTCAGATCAGTGTCGAAAAAAAATGCAAAATGGTAATCTTCACGATGTTGTCGATGCAAGCGGAGGAGGGGATGTAACTGATTCTGCTCATTTTCCTCGTTATCTACAAAAAAGTCCTATAAGTAAATAATATTATTTTTCTCTTGAATTAGCAGTTTATTTTTTTTTTTTTAAATATTTCATTAATTAATTCTTTGTAATTTTTAGGTAACGATAATCATTCCAGTGATGGATTAATGAATGGGTTAAGTGGGAAAAAAAATGTTGAATTTTTCAATGAAGTGCTTGATAGTAGTGATCAAATTAAAGTTTTATATGATGTAAGAGTTAGAGAAGTGCACAGATTAACTGAATTAATTGACTCTATGAAAAAAGAACACGATATTTCGGAGAAAAACTTAAAACATTTGTTGGCTCTTTCGCAAGCTGAAAAAGAACGTTTAAATGTCAGTCAAATGCAACTTCAAAGCTTACTTGTTTCTCACAAGGAGAAACAGGAAATTCTAGAAAAACATATTGTTGATTTAGAAAGTAAATACAGTAATGTTAGTGATGTTAATAATGAACTTACAAAGCAAATTGAAACGAATAACATCATAATTAATGATTTGGAAAGGAAAATAATAGTTTTAGAAAAGGGTAACAGAAGTAATTTTGATGCAGTGCAATATGAATCGAATATAAAGGGTTTGATAGAAAAGCATAATTTTGAATTGATGAATTTAAATTTGGAAAATGAAAAAATTAACAAATTAAATGATGAGTTGGTTAAAGAAAACAGTGAGTTAAAAGTAAAAATTAGTCAGTTAAGTCAAATAAACGATGAAAATTTAGCTAAAAAAAGTGAAATAATAAGCAGACTTTCGAAGCAAGTTGACGAAGCTCAAAAACAATGTGAAAATCTTATGAAATCATCAACGACTGAGGATAACATAAGGTTGCAAATGGAGTTGAAAATTGTAAAAGAAGAAAAACAAGTACTTATGACAAGGTTGGAAGGTTTGGAAAAAGAAATGACGAGGCAGGAAGAAGAATTGCTGCAGTACGATTCACTAGAAAAGTTAACTTCATTTAACGTGTCTGATTCGAAAATTGACAGTTCCGACATTAGCGGAAAGCTCGGCGCGGAATTATTCAAAGCATTAAGCGGACAAAAAGCAAAAAGACAAGAAATAAAAAATTTACAGGGGGAATTAAAAGAAAAAACAAACCAAATAAATTCACTCGTTGAAAGTGATAAAACATTAAAAAATGAAATAACGGAATTAAAAGTAAGGGGGAGAAATCATTCATATTTATTTTTGGTATCCCTTTTTTTTTCTTTCTGTTTACCTTAATTTCATTTTTTTTTTTTTTTTTTTTTTTGTTTTTCAGAAAGAAATAAATAGGCTTAATATGGAACATAAAAAAGCAGAAGAATTAATCGCGGTAAAAGACTCCGAATTATCAGAACTTAAGAAATCAAAGGATGTATCAAAAAAAGAATTGGAATTTGCTCAAGAAGAATTCGATAGGGAAAAATTAAAAATGGAAAATGAAATTCGTTTGCTCAAAAATAATTTAGATGTTTTAGAAAAGGAAAAAACTCAAACAATAAATAATTACGGTGAGGAGTACATGAAATTTCACGATGAAAGTTTGAAAAGGGTCAGAGAAGAAGTCGAGGAATGTTTTAAAATAGAATTGTTGAAGAAAAATTTAGAAAATGAAAATCTGCAAAAGGAAATCGAAGACATAAAAAATTTATACGTTGAAGTTTTTAGCGCGAAAGAAGCTTTAATCAAACAATTGGAAAAAGAAAAAAATTTTATTCGAAATGGGGGTAGCGGCGGAGGAGGAGTCGTCGACGTCGACGAAGTTAAAAGACTTCAAAAAGAATTGGAAAAATCACGGTTGAGAATTTTAGAATTGGATGAAACATTGAAGCAACAATACGAACAAGAAGTTGAAATATTGAATTTGGAAATAAATCAGTTGAATTTACAATTGGAAAAAACGAAAAAGGAAAAGGAGAGGGAAATTGCGGAAAAGGACAAGATACTAATCGAAAACGATTTACTCAAATCCGAAATCGAACAGATCACGTCGGAGAAAAATTTGCTGTTGTTAAATTTTGAAAAATTGCAAAAAGACACGGAAGAAGTGAGTAAAAATATTTTAAATTTGAAAGAGGGTGCGAAAAACGAAATGAAAGAGCAGAAGGAAAAACACGAGTCGGAAATGCAATCGTTGATTAATAAATACGAAGTCCTGATAAGTAAATTAAAAAAGGAGGTTGAATTAACTCTCGTCAAAGCGGTGAAATACGAGTCGACGGTGACACACTCGACGTCACCCAAAAAGCAAAGTACCAAAACGACGGGATCCCAATGTTCTCCCTCGTCGTTGGAAAATAAATTCAAATCACCCAAATCGAAAATATTCACGAAAGACACGTGTACGTCTCCCGTTGGACTTTTAACGACGGATAGGAAAAATTACAAAGAAACCTGTACGAGAAATGTCGGAGTCGCGACCGAGCCGGAGCCTAATAAAATGTCGAAAAAGGAAGTTGTGGAAATATTGGAAAAATTGGGAGCGTATCACGAAAACGAAATTAAAATACTAGAGGGTAAATACAAAGCGGCCCTCGGAAAACTTGATAAGAAATTTGAATTGGAAATCGATAAAGCTCAAAAACTCATACGGGGAGAATTGGAAAAAGCTCACGCGTTGGAATTGGAACAAATGGAGGAAAAGCATAAAATCGAACTCGAAAATAGAATCGAACAGGAGAAGAAAGAAGCCGTCGCGGATTTAATCACGGAATGGGCTTGCGAAGTTCAAAGTTTGAAAGCTTCACAAGCGGAAGCCAAAATGGAAATGGAAAGAATGAGAATAAAATACAAAGCCGTGAAAAACGTCGCGTTGCAATATAAGGTAAGCAGCGAGCGTTGGTGGGAAAATTTTTTTCCTTATTTGCTAATTTTTCCTTTTTCTTTTTCCAGAGTTTTTTCAAAAACAAAGCAGAACACATGAAAGAAGAATGGAAAAGAATCGAAGGAGGATACGAAAGCGCATTAAAAGAATTAGAAAAAAACGTACACATATTGGTTGACGTTAAAGAAGACGAAGTCAAAGCCAAAGTGGATTCGATAACGAAATTATACGAAAGGAAAATAAATAAAATGAAAGAAAAATTACACAGGTACGAAAATAAATTGAAATGGAAAAATCGGGATAAGAAATCCGCGGTTGATTCGTCGTCGAGCGATTTTGAATTATTAACCGATTTGGAATCTCCGAAAGGACCCCCTTTGCCTCCCTCCCTGAATCCGTCATTTAAAATAAGACTGAAAAGCCCCGAAGGAATTTTATTACCCGAACCATCGTCAGATGAAAATAAATAAATAAACGATCCATTATTATCATTATTATTATTTGTAATAATTTTAAGGAAAAACGAAATTCCTGTCGAGGAGAAAAGTAATGAATAATAATTTTAAATTGATAATAATAAAAACATTTCCACAAAATTAAAAAAAAAAAAAAAAATAATAATCTCAGGTTTATACCTTTTTATACCTTTAACGAAAGGGTTTTAACCCCCTCCCCCCCCCAAAATAATAAACGATTATAATTAAAACAATATTCAGTATTAATTGTCATAATTATTTAGTTTATATTATTAATAAATAAATAAATAAATAAATTTTTAAGTGCTTTTGTTAATTTAAACAATGAACAATGTGCCTGTTTATACAAAATAATAATAATATTATTTTTATATTTAAATAAATATTGATGATAATAATAATAATAATAATTAATTTGTAATTTTTTTTAAAAAAATTTTTTATTTGTTTATTGTGTCTTATTATTGTAAATAATTTGAAAGAAAAAAAAAAAGTATTATTAATTAATAATTTATTTACTATTAAAGTTTTAAAAAAAAAATTTTTGTATGGATTTTATTATTATTATTATTAATTAAGGAAAATTTAAATAAATAAATGGATTAAAATTACAATGTGCATTTTATTTATTTTATATAATTACAAAAATTTTTTTTTTTTTTGGTTACCTGTTATTAATATAAACGTTAAAATGTATGTACGAATACATACATACATAAATAAATATTTACATAATAATAATAATAATAATAGAATATAATAAACATATTAATAGTAACTCATCGTAGCCACGTGACACCTTAACGAAAAAACAAATTTTATGTGGCACCATATTACATATATATAAAAGATAAAAATTTTTTTAAACAATATAGCTTTAAAACTTATAATAAATATCAATTTTTTTTTTTAATAAAGGATTTGTATGAACCGAAAAAACAATAATAATAATAATAATAATAATAATGATAATTAATAATTAAATAATTTTTGTACATGAAAATAAATAAAAATAAAAATTATTATTATTATTAAAAAACATTTTTTTTATTATGTTTTGTTGTTGTTGTTCTTATCCGAAATAAAATAAATTTTTATTTAAACAAAAAGGAAAAAGTTTAAACAAATATAAAAAGAGGTAACATACATAATTTAATTAATAAGGTAGTAATAATAATAATGATAACAATTTTTTTTTAATATTTTAAAAACCTTTTTTTTTTTTTTTACAGTCTGCAAATATTTTTTCTTTTTCCAAATGAATATTAATAATAATAACAAAACAAAAGTTTTTTTTCAATTTTAACTATTATGAATAATAATAATAATTGAGGTAAATTAATAATTAATTAATTAATAAAATAAAATGAAATAATTTAAATTAGTCATGTTTAAAACTTAATAAAAAAAAAACAAAAATAGAGGTAGATAACTTTTTTCTTTTATTTTCTTTCTTATTTTTTTTTTTGTAAATGAGGCCTTAAATTTACATTAATTAATTTATTTATTTATTTATTTATCTCGAGTGATTTCCGTTTAAATAATAATAATAATAATAATAATAATAAGGAATTCTTATAAAAAAAAAGAAAATTTTTATTAAAAATCGATGAATATTTTTTTTATGTTTTTAAAGCAGCTGTAAATGTTTTTGTTTTTCAACTTTTTTTAAAAATTTAATCAAATACATTTAAATAAAAATTATTATTTACATATAAACTGGGGGGTGGGGGAAGGGGGGGGGCAGAAAGTGAGAAAGAGAGAGAGAAAAAAAAAATTAACAAACGTTTTATAAATTATTAATTATCTCGTTTAACAAAAAAAAAAAAAAACAAAAAGAAAATTAAATTAAAACTTAATAGTATTAAAAACAATAATAATAATAATAATAATAATTACCTGATCCGTAGAGCTTAAAGCTGTTTTGAGCAATTATTAGTTACAAAACAAAAAAAAAAAAAAATCTTTTTCATCATTTTCTTTTTACAAAAATAAAAAAAAAAAAAAATGAAAATGGAAGAAAAACCTCTCGAGCAAAACATGGAGGAAAGGCACACGACGTTTTTTGAAATTTTATTCTTTTTTTTTTTTTTCTTAATAAATCAAACAAATATAATAACCGTAATAATTATTAATAATAGTACAGTAATAATAATAATACTACTAATAATAATAATAATAATAATTTTGCTCGAGAGTTTACAAAAAAAAAAATAAAACAAAAAAATTTTCATCTTAAAATTAAAAATTACAAAACTTTTATTTTTTTTTTTATTTTTTAAAAACGTTTTCAATTTAAACAAATAATAATAATAATAATGATAATAATAATAATAATAAAACAATATTATGGGATTTATAATAATAATTATTTTCCATCGAATCATTTTTTACAAAAAAAAGGGAAAAAAATAAAAATTTTTTTTTTTTTAAATTACATTTACAATGAGATTATTATCATTATTATTATTAATTTCATATTAATAAAAAAAATATAACATCATCGTCATCATCAGTATTATTATTATTATTATGGTCACTCTTAAACACGACAAGGCTCTTATTTGTCGGGGTTTTTAAGCATTTATCCCAGGTCTCTACCCGATTCCTTAGGGACAAATACTCGAATATCGGTGGTGCTATTTATAATATTTTCCGAAGAATGTGGGCCGTCCCACATAGTGCGATGTCCTGGATGGTTTCTTCTTTTAGGTTCTTCATAATCTTCTTTAAATTTCCTTTTATTGAATTTGGCATGGCTCCCAATGCTCCCACGATGACCGGAATCGTTTCAGTTTTTGTTCCCCACATCCTGGTTATTTCAATTTCCAAATTTCTGTATTTCAGCCTTTTGTCTGCTTCTTTGGCTGTGGTGTTTTTTTCTGCCGGCACGGATACCTCAATTAACTTACACCATTTTTCCCCATTATGCCTGAGGATGATATCCGGTTTGTTAGCTGGCACAGTTCTATCAGTGTGGATTTGTTGATCATATAGAACTGTGCATGGACCTACTGTCGTAACCGGGCTTGGAATGTGGTTGTACCACTCCTTGGGTAATCCATCCATTCCATATTCTCGGCATATACTCCAATGGAGATATTGACATATTTTATTGTGCCTTTCTAAGTATTCATGTTTTGCCAGTATCGGACAACCGGAAATTAAATGATCGATGGTTTCCGATTGTGATTGGCAAATTCGGCACTTGTCATCTTGGCGGACTTTGAGAATTACTTTTTCATAGTTATGGGTCCGCAATGCCTGATCTTGAGCCGCTGTAATAAAGGCTTCTGTTTCAATTTTAAGTTTTCCACGCCGTAGCCAATTGTGCGTGCTCTTCTTATTAATATCTTCGGCATTTATTCTTTTTAGGTATTGCCCATGTAATTTTTTCTGTTCCCATTTGCCTATTAATTTCTTCTGAGATTGGGCTTTGCTATTATAAGTTGCAAGTTGCCCCTCTTCCATTATCTCGTTTTCTTTATTTTCTTGGACGATTTGTTTTGCCCTTTTTAGAACTCCTTTTTTTGTAGTTTTTTCTTCTGCATGTATAACTTGGGCTAAGATGGGGTCCTCTTGATGGGATTCTATGTATTTTCCCATTCCAATTATGGCATTCTGGTATGCCGCTTCTATTTGTCGTAATCCTCTTCCTCCATCTTTCCTGCTGACGTACAATCTATCCACATCAGCCTTTGGATGTAACGCACCATTCATGGTTAATATTTTTCTTGTCCTTCTATCTAGGTGCGTGATTTCTTCTTTCGTCCAGTCTACGAGGCCAAAACTATATTCTATTACAGGAACTGCTAATGTGCCGACGGCGGTTATCTTATTTCTTCCATTCAGTTCCGACTGTAATATAAGCCTCAATCTTTTAAAATATTCTTTTTTCAATCGAGGTTTAATTTCCTTGTTGGCTATCCCAAAATTTTCTTCAATCCCCAGATATTTGTATGATGATCCAGGGTCCAATTCTTTAATAAGTTCTTCTTCGGAGTCTTCTATATTTTGCTGTTGTTTTAACTTTCCTCTGACAATATTTATTCTGGCACATTTCTCTAACCCAAATTTCATGTTGATGTCAGAGGAAAAGGTTTGAACCGTCCGTAACATTTTATTTAACTCCTCTTCATTTTTGGCATAAATTTTTAAGTCATCCATATATAGCATATGGGTAATTTTCCTGCCTCCCGGTACCAACTCATATCCTTGATCCTTGATATTAAGCTGTCTGGATAGAGGAATTAAAGACATGCAAAATAAAAGTGGCGACAATGAATCTCCCTGAAAAATTCCTCTTTTTATAAATATTTTTCTAGAAGAGTATTTTTGCACTTCCAGCTGGGTGCACCAATTTTTCATACTCTTCTCGCAGAACGCTGTAATATTAGGGTCTACTTTATATATTTTCAATGCCTCAATAATCCATTCGTGAGGCACACTATCAAAGGCCTTTTGATAGTCAATCCATGCCATGCTTAAATTCTTCCTCTTTTGTTTTGCACTGGCCATGATCAATTTATTTATTAATAAAACCTCCTTGCAGCCGTAAGACCCTTTTCTGCATCCATATTGTTCAGGAGGAAAAATGTTATTTTTTCTTAAATGCCCATAAATCTTTTCAGCAATAATAGCTGTTATTATTTTATACATTGTGGGCAAACAGGTTATCGGCCGAAAATCTTTCGGTTCCGTAGCTCCTGATTTTTTTGGCAGCTTATTATTATTATTATTATTATTATTATTATTATTACGTTTTTATTTTAAATTTCAAGTACAAAATGTATAAAAAAATGCATCTACTAATATAATTATAATAAAAACTATTTTTTATAGTTGCAGTCTTCTTGTTAACTCAATTAAATATAATACTCCTTTTTTTTTTTCCTTTTTTTTTTCTTTTTTTTATTTTATTATTATTATTATTAAAAAAAATTATTTATTTATTTATTTATTTTTTTTCATCTTATTTGCTTCTTTTAATAATTGCTTTGTACAAATAATAATAATAATAATAAAAATCAATATAAAACAATTTTTAAAAATTTTTTCTCTTCTTTTCTTTTTATTCTGTTTTTTTTTTTTTTTTTTTTCTAATTAACTAAAAATAATAATAATAATAATGAAAAAATAATGACAATAAAAAATAATAAAAATTATTATTATTATTATTAAATTTACAGTAACATTTCGGATTGTTTAAATTATTAAAAAATTTAAGGCTTTAAATATTAATGTCAGCAGCTCAAAATTATAATAAATCCTTCTTTTTTTTTTTTTTTTTTTTTTATTTCATACAAAAATCATTCATTAAATTATTATTATTATTATTATTATTTATCGTCGTCGTCTGCAACAAAGAAGAACTTGGAATGAATATTATAAAATTATAAATAAATATTTTTAAAAAAAAAAAAAAAAAACTCCATTTTGTTTACAAACAACCGAAAAAAATCGAAAATTTTACAAAAAAAATTATAAATAAATTTTAAATTTGCAAATTTATCCATTCGATACGACGATAAATTATCATTATTATCATCATCATCATCATTATCAATATTATTATCATTAATAAACAGCTTAAAATGTTATGTGTATGATTATTTTGTCCTGAGCTTACTTTTTTATTTTACCAATTAACAATTATTTTATTTATTCATTACTCATTATTATTATTATCGATAATAAAATCTATTAAACGTGCTAAAAAAAAAATAAAAGAATGATGATGATGATGATGATGATAACAAAAAAAAAAATTTATTTTTCTTCAATAATAATAATAATAAAAAATTATTTAAATGTAATTATGTACAATATTGAATGTGTGAACATTTTTTACATATACATATACATATATATATATATATATATATATGAATACCCGCATAAATCCGATTTAAAACTAAAAACTTAACAACTAATTAAGAAGCAATTAAATTACTTTTTTTTTTTTTTTTTTTTTTTTATTTTGTACCAAATAAGAACCAAAAAAAAAAAAAAAAGAAAGAAAAACATAACAAAAATCATCATTATTTCTTTTTTCTTTTCTTTGGGGGGGGGGGATTTTTCTATACAACAACATCTAATACCAATTTGTTAAAAACATAAAAAAAAAAACATAAACATAAACATAACCAACAAATACATAAATATATAAATTATAATTTTTTTGTCTTATTGGTCACGTTTAAAAAACATTTTTTGATTTCAAAATTTCAATTAACAAAAAATTATTATTATTATTATTATTATGTTATTGCTGATGTTTTATCATCATTATTTTTTGTATCCATTTTTTTTTTTTTTTTTTTTACTAAAAAATTATATCAAATTTTAAAACTAAAAATATAAAAAACTGGGCAAGAATATTTGTTCGGCTATTTTGGAATAATTTGCATTAAAAAAAAAAAAAAAAAAAAAAAAAGGTGATGCAATGTAATAGCATTTCACTTTTAAAAAAATTTAATAAAGTTTTTGGAAAAAAAATATGGCGGCCGATTAACAGCGGAATAAAATCGTTAAAAAACTAAAAAGAAATTAACAAAAAAAAAAAAAAAAAAACAAAAAGCAGTCTTTCAAAATAAATAGCTGCACCGTGATGGCGGCGCTCCCAACAACAACAAAAACCTAAAAACCTGATTTTAAGATTCTTGAATTATTTCTTTCGAAATAAAATGTAAGGATGAATCGGGATTTCTATAAATGCAATAATAATCGAGCGAATAATTCATTCCATCATTTTTTTTATCCAAACATTTTCCGTTACGTTCGTTGTTATTTTTCAAATAGTTTTCCCCGGTGTCGTACCCGCAATTTTTCCTTACCAAATTTTCCGATGATTTCGAATTGGAAAACCTAAATTCTGGATTTTGCAATATGCTGCTTATGTTCAACCACGATTCTTCATCTTCGCTATTGCGTTCTGAACTGCTATCGTCGTCCCCGTCCCTCCCATCGGATGTAATTTTCCTTTCCGAATTCAAAGGTTCGATCCCTTTTTCCTTTTTATCCTTAGACTCTTGATTCTTTTCGACGAATTGAAACGAAGTCCTCGAAACAACCACCCTTTCGCATGTTTCCCCCTTTGAAATGTCGTTATTATTGATTGCATTATTTAAATTCGATTCCAAATTTTTTCTTTGAACGTTAAGAAGCGGAGTTTTCGACTCGTTCGAACAATCGATATTGAATTTTCCGCTACCGTAATTATTACTCCGATGATGTACAGCAGAGTAAGAGGGTTTACCCTGGAAAATTTATAAAAAAATTAAATCTAAATATTTCAAACTTTTTGCAGGATGAAAATTTCACTATCTGAAACAATACCCTTGGATTTTCAGTAATGTATATACTTCTTTTAGTCAATCCTTCTTTCGACATTTTGTTTTCGTTCAATAAAGACATTTTTATTCCGTTGGCCGAACCATTAGAATAATCTCCCTGAAAAGTATTTCGTATCGATAGATCAATTGATGTTTACACGAAAATCAACGCGTTTTTTCCTGGAGCAAGTAATAAAAACTCACTTTGCCATCTAAATGCCTCACGGCTACTTCCACCGCATTGGGTTGCCTTTGTTCCGATAAGAAAGTAAAATATTCAGTTTCCCGTGATTCCGCAATAAGTTCTTTATCTCTTTGGCACGCGTTCCCATTGCCACGTCGGGAAGATGCGATTTCTAATTCTTGAACTACCTGTCGTTTCAAACACCTTCTTCGACATAAAATACAAGTCGTGCATATGATGATACAAAAAACTCCAATACCGAGTCCCACTACTATTCCTAAAATTTAAAAAAAAAAAAAAATCCCACGTTTGAATGATGATTTTCAATTTCGTTATATGAAAATCGTAGAGAGAAAAAATGTTTTCGTTCGAACCTATGTAGTGATCGCTGTGAAAATTCCTCGATTTCATCGCGGAAAGTAAGTAAAATTCTTTTGGGGTGGCATACGATCCCAGACCTGCATTCGTTGAACCTCTAATTATCAGATAATATTTTAAATTCGAATTAAGATCTGTCAACTTGAGAAAGAAAGGAGAAAAAAAACGAATGAATATTTTTTTTTTTTTTTTTTAAATTTAAAATCGTTTTTATATGAACTCTTACGAGTGTTTCGTGAGTGTCGGAAGAAACTGATTTAACTTTCCACAACTCTAGAGGTAGACTCGAATCGTCGGAGTAAAACAATGAATAACTTTTTAAAATTCCATTAATATGTGTCGGCTCCTTCCAGAAAACTTGAATTGCGGTTTTATTAAGTGCTTTCCAACTAATATCCAAAACTTGACTCGGAACTGAAAACGATACATTTTTTTTTAAAAACAAATTTCAAACGTGAAATTAAATAAAAATTTTACTCACCATCTTCTAAAGTATAACATTCTATCGTTTGACTGAACGCGCTGTATTTTTCATTTGAATTATGAGACCTAACTTTAAACTCGTAAAGAGTGTGCGGATTTAGGCCAGATATTAAAATTTTATTTTCTAGGCTAAAAATAACAAAAAAAAAACAAATTTTAATAAATGCGCGCGTGTGTGTGTGTGTGTGTGTGTGTGTGCGTAAACTTTAATATAAAATTAACAGTAACCTTTTAACACAACGAACTACAGCATTTTTGTCAAGACTATTTTGTACGGGATTGAAGCAAATTGTAAAATGTTTGATATTGATTAATCCCGGTGTTGCTTGTTGTGAAATACTCCAAGTTAAATTAATTGCTCTGGAACTAATGGGTTCGGCTTCTAATGAAACCGGTGGTTCGGGAATGGAAGGAAATTCCGACATCATTTTGTTAGACGATCCCACGTTTGAAAGTGTGTGCATGAAACTGACACCGGTTTCTCCATCGTCCTCCGAGGTAAATCCCAAAACGGTTATTTCGTACCAAGTTTCTGGTTCTTGAATGAAAAATAATTTTTTACTTATTACTAAATCATCGATTTTTCATCAACTTGGACGAAATCGAAAAAAGAAACAATTTCTTACCCAAACCGGCCACTATGTACTTCTTAGTATCCGCAGGAACAATTATCGGACCGACTTGACTGCTGTTTTGCTTTCGATAAAATATTTTATAACCGATGACTTTGATTTCTTTACTAGGTAAATTCCATCTGACTTCTATTTCCGACGAATTTAAAGCTTGTAGTATAATTTCCGGAGGGGAAGGAATATTCGAATGAAAATTTAACGGGATTTCGAAAGTTTCCCATGGTAAATCCATTTCTGGCCAACCCTTATTAGTTGCAGCTAATACTCTCAAATCGTATTTTTTCCCAGAAACCAATTCTAAAAAAATAAATTTTTAATAAGTTATGGTGATAAAATGCTGATAAATTGTTTATTAAAAAAATTTAAATACCGGTGATTGTATAATTAAATACGTTTCCACCGACTTCGACAACTCTCGATGAAGGAGATTTAACGTTACGCCACTGAATTTTGTACCTGTTTACAACACCTCTCGCTTTTTCTTTATTTAATGGAAGCCATGACACTAATATTGAATTCGGACTGATGACCTGCCATTTTTTTAACGGAGCATCGGTTGGAACTACAAAAGAAAAAGACAATAATAAATTTGTATAAAATTTTTTCTTTTTTTTTTTATTGAATAATAATTAACCTTCTTCATCCGTTTGACAAATGGCTTTTTCGGAAAATTCACTCGCTGAATCCATGTACAGTCTTAAATAAAATGTATAATTACTAAACGGCAGTAATTTATCGATTTGAATAGAACGAAAATTTGACGGCATTACTTTTTGCATTTCTTCACCGTAATCTATGGACAAAAAAGAAGAAAAAGGTACGCCAAATTTAATTAATCAATTGAGAGTCAATTATTGATTCAATTCGATCGAAAATATACTGAATTAAATTACCGGTGAGATGATAGTGCACTGAAAATGCCTTTATTTCTTTGGAAGAATTCGATACGTCCCATGTTAATTTGATTTCCGTCGATGACACGGATTCGCAGGAAACCTTTTCGGGAGCACCGGGAGCAGGTTTTGAAGCGTTCAAAAATAATCGACTAGCTCCCCAAGACCAGCCGACTGTATTTTTTGCCATGCACTGATAAATTCCCGCATCACTTGCCACCGTGCTTGATACAATCAATTCTGATATTCTTACTTGGAGTGAGTCATTTACTGATGTCCGGTGTTTAATTCGACCTTTAACAAAAAAAAAAAAATAAATAAATAATAATAATAAATTATATCAAAACCTAAATGCAGAATTTTTTTTTTTGTCTTCTTCCAAGACTTGTTTCACGGGGGGAGATACACATAATGAAATCATTAACAAACACATTCATTGACCATGAAATTTAATTTAATTAAAAAAAAAAAAAACCCGCGTTAGGTAAAGGTTTCGACTTTAAAAAAAAAGAATGATTTGTGTCATAAATAATTACCGGTTATATTAAAAAGTTGTCCATCTTTTAACCAAGATATTTCAGGTACCGGATTTCCAAATGCGACGCATCGAAAACGAACCGTTTTAGCCGTTCGAAAAACGATGCTCTCGGATTTTTCTTGAATTTCTGGTGGCGTTAAAATTTTCAAATTGATTTTTAACGTTTTTGCGTTTTTGTTAAATGGATTCATGGCACTGCATATATACCATCCCGCTTGATGTCGAGTGACATTTTTTAAATTCACTATGCTAAAACCTTGACTGGTAAAATTATATATGTTTTTAGAAAAATTTTGACCTGCAAGAAAACCAATAAAAAAAAATAATAATGATAACCAATGAAAAAAAATTAAGTAAAAGATTTTTCTCAAAAAATTTTCTTTACCGTTTTCTATAAACGTCCAACCTGATATGGGAATGGAGTAATTATTTACAACACAATCTAAAGTTATATTGTCACCTTCTTTTATTTCCCTCACGCTTGTCGAAAGAGAAGGCAACAAAGATTGTTGAGCAGAAAGGAATGTTATTAAATCAGGGTCATGTTTTCGAGGTAATACGGTGAGCAAACCACTGGCGCTGTGGCGTTGCTTATTCGATAAAACATTTTTAGCAGTACATCTGAAACAGTGATGAAGAAACAAAACGTGAAACAAAATAAAATTGAAAATAACTTTGCTTGTGGAAAAGCAAAAATTAATTACCTGTAGCTTCCAGAATCATCAGAATTTACATTGAATACGTAGAGAATGCTCCCGGGGATATCGGGTCCCGAAATCGTAACGTATTTCCACGAATTATGTCGAATTTTTTTCGCATCTTTTTCCCAATCGATTTTTATATTGGGACCATAATTAATTTCGCACGTGAACCGCACATTCGATCCAATTTTAACATCTTGTGCAGTTGGATGTCGAGAAAAATTTTCCGGCGAACCTGAAAAATAATTTATTTACTCCCTCATTCCACAATGAAAAATATACACCATTTTACTACTTACTCTATAAACGAATTTTTATTTTTATTAAATAAATTATAATTTAATCCGAATTCAAACAAAAAAATTTTAATTTTTTTACATCGCTTTTTTCAACGTTGCCATACCTATTAATAATTTTTTTAAATTAAGTTGCAATTAATTTGTTAATAAAATTATCCGTATGAATATTCAATAGGATCAAAATTTTTATTACCGGTCTCAATGTACCGTTTAACATAATTTAAATGATAATGAACATTAAATAATACTAATTCGCGGCGTAAATATGCTAAAAATACATTAATTAACAACAGGCTTCATTTCCTCAACTCAAATTTTTTAAAAAAATTTCCTTTTCATATTCGGTCGAATTAATCGTAGCCATATTTATACACACAAAATTAAAACCAAAAATTATGCGAGAAAGAAAAAAAATTAATAATTTTTCAATTTCTTATTCCCCGTCGCAACGATTTTAATAATCCGTTATTATTAAAACAATTAACTTAAATCTAATAAAATTAATTAATAAAATACAAATTTAAAAAAATTCTTAAACGTAGTCAAAACTCAAAATGTCATAGATTAACAAAAAAACAAAAAGGGTGGGAAAAAAACGTTAAAAAAAAACAAATTTTAAGTTGGCAGTACTGTAGATTTTGTTTCTTAAATTTTACGTGAGGGCGTCGTCGACGCAAACAAAAACGAATCGAAAAAATTAAAGATAACGATACTAAAAAAAAAAAAAAAAAAATAACGATGATAAAAAATTAAACGAAACCGTTATAAAAAAAAAAAAATTCTTTTTTTTTTTAAATAAATTTTCATCAACTTGTAGAATTTTAGAAAAAAAATGCAGTTGCCCAAACCAATTTGTTTAAAAAAAAAAAAAAAATTTTTTTAATAAACGAGAATTTGTTTTTTTTTTTTTTCAAACTTACAAAAGAATGCGGTTCCCGGCGATAAAAAAAAAAAAAAAAATCAAGAAAAAAAAAACAAAATTATAAAATAAAACCTCTTCAACATCATAAAAATGCATCTCAATAAATATTTTACGGGCGGACGGGTGGAGCAGGGGAGCGGGGAAGCGGGGGAGGGAGGAGGGAAGTTTAAAAAAATTAATTGGGAGCATCGACAAGTGCAATACAAAGTGCACGGAAACCAAAGTTGAGGTAGGTCAAGATTTTTACTCTCCTGATACCGAAGCCGTGAAATTGCATCACAAAACGAATCGTACGAAAAAAAACGTAAAAGAACGGAAACGCGAAAGCAAAACCAATTGCCAGAATTTTTTTCTTACATTTCCACGTTGAAAAATCCGTCGGGGAAACGATTGGAAAAAAAAAAAAAAAAACTGCTTTTCCCGAAAGATAAACGTTAACGTCACAAACCTTTTTAAAATTCACAAACGAAAACGAGTAAAATTTTCTTTTAAATCGCATTCTCACATAAATTCAAAGCTTTTTACGCTACGCGAAAAGTGCGCAAGTCTCAAATGCTGCGAAAAGATGTACTACTACTCGCTCTCGCTTCTCTCTCTATTATAGCTATACTCCTTCCCCATAATAGCACAACACAAAAAAAAAAAAACAAAAACAAAATAATAATAATAATAATACAAAATAAAAACTGGAAAAGTTAAATTTCCAGTGCAATTTTTTTTTTTTAAAAAATTCATTTAGATTTGAGTAATGTCGATTTTTTTGTTTTTCATCAAACGGCAAAAATGCATTAAAAAAAAAAAGAATTTTAAATTACATTAGTGTTATTATTATTATTGTTTTTTTCTTCCTTTTTGCTTCCTTTTTTGCGCACGAAAACTTGCAAATTTAAAAAAAAAAAAAAAAAACGAGAAAATCAATACTTTGAATCTATTTATATAAATAAATAAATAAAAGCCCTCTTTTATGGAATTTTTTTTTAATTATGGGTCACTACATCTCTCTCTCTCTCTCTCTCTCTCTCTCTCTCTCTCTCTCTCTCTCTCTCTCTCTCCATCATTTTACCGATTGATATGGGATATTTAAATATAAAAAAATAAATAAATAAATAAATTTTAATTAAAACTCACCACTTATTCTCAAATAACCCGGTTTCGAACTCAATGAACCATTTTCTCTTACTGCAACGCATCTATATTCTCCTTGATCGGAATGACCGGTTCCCTTGTGAATGAGCTAAATTTAAAAAAAATTATTATTATTAAAAAAAAAAAAAAAAGGCATTACTCGTGAATAGAGAAAGAGACAACCAGAGAAAGAAATATTAAAAAAAATAAAAAAACTTACTTTTGAAAAATGTAGAGTTCCATTTTGAAAAACGGTTCGCCTTCTGTCATTTCTCAAATCCATCGGTTTGTCGTCATGATACCAAATTATATTGTATGAATCTTTGTGACGAGTCGCCCTTAGTTGACAGAATAAGGAAAGGGGCTTCCCCTTAATACCAATAACATCTTTTGGCTCGTCAACAAAGTTTAGTCCGAGTTCTAATTGCGACACGCCTGAAAATTAATTTGAATTATCATTATCATCATCATCCTCATCATCATTATCACAATTCATTAATTTCCTTTTTCTTGTTCTTTTTTTTTTTTTTTTATTGGGAAAAGGGGGAAGACTTTTTAATTTTTGAATGAAATTCAAAAAGAAGAAGATGAAGAGGAAAGAAGGGGAAAGAAAAATTTAAAAAAATTTTTTTTTTTTTTTTTTAATTTTCGGTCATTTTGAAAGAAAAAAAATATTTTGGTTAACCACATGTAGACCTTCGATTTTGTAATAACCAATGTAATACTTGTGATAATAATAATAATAATAATAATAATAATAATAATAATAATAATAAAACGGTTTTATAACTTTTTTCGTGACTTTATAAAATTTGATTATAAAAAAATTTCCATTATTCAGATTAAACTTTATATACATTTGATTTAGGATAGAGAAAGTGATAAAAAAAAAAAAAGCATTTCCAAAATTCTCCAGAATTTATCTCGCAATCGAAACTTAATATATATACATTAATAAATATTTGTAATATACAGAAAAGGATAGAAAACAATTTTTTTATTACCATCGAAACTCATAGTAAACATTTCATTAACCTGGAAAATAATAATAATAATAATAATAATAATAATAAAAATATCTCAACTTTAAATTATATAGATAACGTGTGTTAAATCATTGTAACGAATTAATTACTGTGGCGCAATAATAATAATAATAACTAATTTAAAGTTTTTTTTTTCTTTCTTTTTCTTCTAAATAATGAATGAATGAATGAATGAATGAATGAGTCAAATTAATCTCTTGAGGAACATGAAAAACATGAACAATTTTTGTTTTTTCCCAACAAAAAAAAAAAAACAAAAAACAAATCCAATGTGATAATTATATATATATATATATATTAATTGTAAGACTTGTAAAAAAAAAAAAAAAAATTAAATCCATATTAATAATAATAATAATAATAATAATAATATTGATAAAATATAAACATCAAATAATCAATTATTTACCAAACGAAGAAGAAAATATATTATTACCTACATAATTCAAACAAAAAAAAAAAAAATTGATATCTTAATACCGTAATTATTATTATTATTATTATTATTAATATTAAAAATAAAAAAAAAATATAAAAAAAAAATCACAGAGTAATTAAATTACATTCTCGTGATAATTGAAACCGAATTTTACAAAAAAAAAAAAATAATAAAATAAAATAAAAGAAAAACAATGATTGATTCCTTCCTTAGAGATCTTATTATATAGCGAAATGGTTGGTTTCAATTGTAATTGGAGCCCAACAAAAAAAAATATAAATAAATAAAAATATTATTTAATAATAAAAAAAAAAATAAGACAAAAACAAAAAAAAAAAAAAAAACTTTTTTTAAGTTATGATGTTTTCATAACAACTTTTGGAAAAATTAATTTTAAAATTTAAAAAACAAAATAAATTTATCAAAGTAAATAATGTTATAAATTAAAAAAAAAAAAATTTAAATTGCAATTCTTATTATCGACTGACATTATCATTATCATATTTACAATTGTTATGATATTTTTAAGAAATTTGGTAAAAAAATTTAAAAGTAGTAATAATAATAATAATAATAATAAGTATAATAGTAATAAGGATTTAAAAGAATCAAAAAAAAAAATTGTGTTATGAAGAAATAATATTTTTCACAACTTTTCAAAGCATCGACAAAATCGAAACAAAAAATTTAAATCAATATGATGAAAATTATTTTCCATATATAAAGATAAAATTTTCTAATTAAAAATTTTCATTTATATAAAATATATATATATATATATATATATAGAGTAATAAATCAAAAATAAATTTAATTAAACAAAAATAAATTATTAAAAAAAAATGTAATTTTTTTTTATTAATAAAAAAAAAAATGATTAATAATTATTAAAAAAAAAAAAATGAAAATTTATTTTAATAAATTTCTACTGGTTTTCCTTTCTGATTTATTTGTTTTGATTTTTTTTAAATTAAATTTAATTCAATCAGGAATTTGATATAATAAAAGAATTATCTTTCATTTATTGAGAATTTATTCTCTCTCTCTCTCTCTCTTTCGAACCAAAAATCAAAACAAAATTGATCATTAAAAAAGATATTCGATGAAAAATTACACTTCATATTTATATATATGTGAGGGGGGGGGTGAAAAAAATAAATATTGAAATTGAAAATTGAAACATTTTTTTTTTTTTTTTTGTGTACAGGAAACAAATCAAAAAAAAAAAAAAAAAAATGATGCAAGTAATAAATAAAAACACTTTCGATTAAATTTTTTTGGAATTTAACAATCGATTTTGATCCACTGACCCTTTTAATATTTAAATTCCTTCATACAAATTTATCCTTTTTTTTTTTAGTTTAATAAAAACTAAAAAGAATTTTAATCAACTTTTAACTGAGATAATCTTATTTTTATTAATTGTTGACAAAACAAAAACAAAAATAATAATAATGATATTTCCTTTTGATTCATTTTAACATAAACATTGTTATTTTTTTAAGGAATTATATTTTTATGCTTTTTTTCTTCGATGAATCTTAATTAATTAAATATAATAATTAAACATAATAAACAATTTAAAACTAAAACCATTATTTAAAAACAAAATGAATTTTCAAAAACTATGAAAAAATAATAAAAACATTTAAGATGAAATTTTTTTTTTTTTTTGTATAGAATGTAAATATGATATGATTTGTTTTTTGTTTAATAATTTATATTGAATTTTGTTTTTTTGTTTTAAACGTTTATAATAATAAAAACGAAAACATTAAAAACAAAATTCTTTTTTAAAAAAACTTGTTTTTAATAAAGGGAGAAAAAAAAAAAAGAAAAATGACAACTTACCAATTGAATGTTTAAACATACATCCTAATCCAAACAAAATATAGAGCAGAGATACGCTCGGCGCCATAAATTTGCACTCATTTGTTTTCAAATAAATAAAAAAACATCATAATATACGAATAAAAATATTTTTATCATTTATTATCTGATGTTTCAAACCCCAAAATTCCATAATTGGGGAGGGGGGGGGGGGAAAAAACTCATAAAAACAACCGCTTATTTGTTACTCCTTCATTCATTACAAAAAAAAAAAAACAATCACCAAAATATGGTGTAAACACTTTTAATAATAATAATATTATATATTTTACATTTGAATTAAATTAATTTCTTTACATTTTTTAAAAATTCAATTGTTAAATAATCAAATTTTAATTAAATAAAAGATTAAAAATTAATTATTAAAACTTTATTCTCGAATGATTTTTTTTTTTTTTGTCAAAACACAGACACACAAACACACACAGAGTTGAAAAATATAATTCATAAACACTACCTGGACACTCTCTCTGTAAAATCCCTTTATTACTATATTTATTTCACAACAAATAAACACATAAGAACAAGGAAAAAGAGTTGTTTTCTCATTGTGAATATAATTAATTTGTTTTTACAAAATTCCTTATTTTTTTTTTTACCAAGGAATTATTGCAAACTTTAATTTATTCTATTGATTTAAACAATATTTTAATAATTTATTAAAATTATTAATTGAAGAGAACATAACCCTACATAACCCTTTATATATTTCCTTTCTATTAATTAATAATGATAGATTATATTTTATTTGATAAAATAATATGAATTTTAAAAAAAATTTCAAATCAAAACAATGTTAACTTATGAATTTTATGGGTCACTGCCATTAAATATTAATTTTTTTATTTAATTAATTAATTAACGGATATTTAATATTAATAACCCATTCGCATTATTTTCTTGTTTGCATTCAAAATTTCCATGTATTTAAAAAAAAAAAACATTTTGGATAATTAAAATCATCAATCGAGAATAAAAGTTTCATTTAAACGCATTTTTATTATTTAATAATAATTATGGAATAATTATTTTATAAATAATTACAATTTAACTACACATTTTCTTAATTAATAAAATAATTCATTCCTTTAATAGAAATTATTATTTAAAAATAAGTAATATATATATATATATATATACGTTGTCATCTACTTTTGTCTAA